TGATTTAGAATTATTACAGATCGAATATCACAATCCCAAGGTGAAAATACTATATGCAATGAACATTTGTGATCCATTTTGTAATATTTTTCTATAGCTTATTTCATTTGCTGTGTATATTGACAATTGATTTTCTGTGCTTTGTAAACTACAGTCTTCGTTAAATAATCGTCTACTCCGAATATTTCTCTTGAAAATGTTGCGCTACATACTAACTAAGTGTATTCATATCAGTAGCACAGAGAATAACCAATAAGCAACGAAAGTATAAAAGATATTTATGTCAATACAAGTTGATCATATGTGCGGTACAACATCAATCGAGATAATAAGATGGAATATATCATATTAGTTAAATACGTAATACCATTAAACTGATTTTGGAGAAAACAAAGCAAATGAGTCAGCAATAACATCAACTCGTCATAAACAGTTAGATTACTTCCTAGTGAGTTTATCAGTTAGTTATACAAAGTGAGATAGAAACAACTGAGCTAAGTAATCGCTAATTAGCTTGAAAATCCCCATTGAGTAATATGAAAAAGAGAAGACGTTCAGTGAAGAGACTCTTTTCGGTGTACGAATCAGACTTCTTCACACTGCAGAAGCAAAGGCGATTCTCTTGCTAAGCCCTGAACTCTGCATACAGAAGAAGTTCGTTCAATCACTACACTTGCAATGAACGTAATCTATCTTATTACCCGACAAGTAAATTCTACCTAATCTTTTTTCTCTTCTGTTCCTTCATTCGTATTATTTTGTCTTCTCAATTGTAATATTTTCCATTTTCAACTTTCCGGTTCTCTACCCCCACTCGATTTAATTTCTACACCTCACTACCACTGTTACTGACTTGACCAACGCTCAATTTCTAGTCATTTATGTTACGTCATCCAACTTATTTGCTCAATTTCACTTCGAATTTAAATGGCATTATTATTATCTACCCCACCTCCAATTAGTCTCTACTTGTAATTACCTCGGTTGCTATCCTGACCTAAGTTGGAACATTTTAGTCAATTATATTATGTCATTTAACTTAGTAACTCAATCTTATTTTAGTTGCTGTCTAATTAACCTTGTTTCTATATTAGATCATTCTTTTATTACCTGATCAATTATCTAAACTTGACAAACCTCATGTACACACACACACACACACAAATAATTATATATAAATGCGATTGTACAGCTATGTGAATGAATTAGCCGAAAAGAGTCTCTTTCCTGAACGCCTTCTCTTTTTCATAATCGCTAGTTATCAAAATATATCTAAATCGCTTCAGATTTTGATAATACCAGACAAGCACTTGTCTTTAACGAGTCCAGACTCGACTTCATTTGTTGATATTTGGAAAAGTATCTATCACACAATTGTTATTAATCATAACAATACACATTTAGCAGTTTAGTTGGTTAGGGTCAAATTGATTTCACAGTAGATTTCATTACTCACGGATAGCAATGAAAAAACCATAGGCAGATAACTTGTCCAGCATTGCACACGTAACTCTACTAAAGAATCGAAACCTCGACTATTAGTTGACAAGACGAGCATGTTTACCATTTAGCCACTGGTTGGTAATCCAATAAATCATAAGCAGTGATACCTGCACTACAGTGACAGAGAAGCATCTAAAGCTCATCCAAATCACAGATGAGATATTATATGATTTCAAGTACTTTACCTGAATTCCTTTTGTCTTATAAACTTTTATAACCTCCGATTACTGTGAAATCAATATGACCCTAACCCACTAAACTGCTAAATGTGCATTGTTATGATTAATAACAATTGCATGATAGTTACTTTGCCGATTACTGTGTGTCAGCGGCACAGCGGTTAGGACTCTCACTGACCACGCACATGGTCCGACGCGTACCTGATATCAATGGTCGGTCTGCAAAATTTTAGCAACCGATATCACATGCTGAAAATTCCATACCTGTACCAAAAATACGGTGTGGAATCACGCTATAGTAAAAAATATTTTTAATTTCTTTGTTTTCCTCAATATTATTTCCCGGTTGATTTATGAATATGCGCTATGGAAACTCAGTCTTAATCTACTAACTTCAGATCTTTATAGGTTGTATATATCTGTCAATCTTACTTCCTTTGACCCTTTATCGTATATTTTGCTTGCGTTACCAGATTTTCACTGGACTTTGTTTATATAAAACCACCAAGACAGATATGTGTCGTGCATTGAAAACAAATTTGTTTAAGTAAAATTATTAATATCTAAACTGAACGATTGGCCGCTAAACTCTGTCAACTTTTGTATGAAAATAATGGTAGGCTTTATGCTGTAGTAAACATTTCAAAGCTCTACGTAATGAAAAATGATTATAAATTGAATGAAAATTGTGATTAAAGTATCAAAATTCAAAGTCAAGTGTAACAAATTATAGTTTGCATTTTCCCGTTTTATACTCATTTAAAACAGCCATCAAAAATATGAAAAAAAATCTGCCCAGACGTCAAGTTTTTATTACCGTTTTCTTCATAGTCTGTCTCAAGTTTGTTGGAGCCTCCAAATGAATAATGTGAGAATAGAGTATACAGTCTTGGGTTACGTCAGTAAGTCACTGGAGTGAATCGTGAACTATAGTCTCATGATGGACTTGATGGCATGCCTGACGTATATCTACTCCCTTTCCGAAGTATTTCAGCTTCGAGATCCTTGGTTTAATCGCTGATGAGGTTGTTGGCGCTCATTGACAAAAGAGCCCCAAAGTAAAACAAAACATACTTCCAGTGAACTACGTCTTCCAATGAATACCTAACTGAGATGTCGGTTCGTGGCGAAATCTACATTAGAATGAATCTAAATCCCGACAAACCCAAAAAGCTTTAATACAGATACTTATTTCTTTGATAAACGGATTTCCCTGACTTCCTAATGCAAAACCATGACCTGTATGAGTGTAAATGTCATATGTAAGAAAAGATCTCTGTTTACGACCTCCGAAAACAGTTACAATAGTTAATTCATAGAAATTGAAAACTGTTTGGATGAACTTAAAAACCAGTAGCAAAAGAGCAACAGCCTTTGTCAATAAACTTGACACTCCCAGATACTTACTAGAATTTAGATTATGAGTTATTTGTAGCAATTCGGACTGAATGTAACGTAGATTTCGTCACGAGCCAATACTAATTAGAGATCATTATAAGACGGGGAACATTGGATAGCGATTTCGTTTTAGTTTGGAACTCCCTGGTACTGACCACCCACGACCCCACCGGGCAGCGAACCCGGGACCTTTAGGTTTCCAGACCAAGCTTATCGATCATTCAGCCACTTAGACCAGAAATCAAGGACCCGCGTATTCTAACTCTGCCAATGCGTTATACAGAGCTAATCTCAATCAGTGCCTTCGATGAGGATCCACCTCACATTAACATTGCGGACACTATTGGTCGTGACTTCTCAGTGCAGCTTCATGATATCTGTCTGGTGGCCAACAGTGAGCTGGTAATTGATATTTAGATTATGAGTGTTTTTGTAGCGATTTGGACAAATTTCAGTGCAGATTTCGTCATGAACCAGCACTAGTTAGAGACCGTTGAAAACCAAGAAGCACTGAACAGCTGTTTCCTTTTAGTTTGGAGAGAAAAACAAGACATATATCCGATGATTTTTAGTTGTTATTTTTCGTGCTGACTCACTATTTCCGATTCTAAATCTTGGTAATTGGTCGAATGATGTAATTTTCTACTAAGGATTCGTGTGTACACTTGATCAATTAAAAATCTCTGTATACATCTAATTGGACAAAAATTAAACAGAATACACTACTTCAATTTATATTGTATCTACTGACAGACAAAACTTAACGTCATTTTAAAACAGATGTCATTGAAGTAAAGTATTTTAGTTTAATTTACACACATTTATTCGTCTTTTTAAAGAAGGAATTTAAAATCCAATTTAACGGCGATATATATTTTTTTGACACTTGTAAGCACATCAATTACAAAACAAAAAAACACCTGCTACTATTTCTGCTTATTTTTCAATACAGTTATTTCATTTATGTAATATGTTTAAATATGTTTTCTTCTTGTACAAAAAAATGTAATATCTCTCCCAGGGGAATAATTTTTTTAATTTTCTCTCCTGGGTTGGGATGTGGGAGATATTTATCAGTAATTAATCAGTCGGTTACAAATACTGTCTGAATGAGTAAGAGAGGTTTCGTGATTCTGCATTTTGTGGGGTAAAAGTAATAACGAAAATTTAAATTCAACAAAAGAAAAGAAAATTAAAAATCTAGCAATTTTAAGAAGCCTGTCTATCACACCGGTATCTGACAGATAGATATTCATTTATACAGGGATAATGATAATAATAATAATAAAAGAAATTGAAAGAAAATCATCGTTAGTTGCAAATTTGAAGACTATTTTATTCTAGCCCAATCACGAATCTTTAGTGTGTATTTCATCAAGAACCGATATCCATTAGAGAATCACTTAGAGCCAGGAAGCATTGTCAATCAGTACATACACCCTTTCATGAGGAACTGAGTATTACCAAGCGTCAGACATGGTACATGGAGCTACACTATTGTGCAACATCAGAAAAAATATAAGAAACTCGGATGCTTAGAACTAATAGTTCGCCTGATTTTAACATGATATCTGAAATGCTTACTAAGAAGAAACAGTTTGAGATTCCTAACAGACTGTAAGCTAACTAAATCAGTCATATACAAAAAGAAAGCCAGGAAACGTGTCAACAGTAATACAAAAATCAATCATTAATCACCAATTTAGTCAGAAAACGTCATAGAAAGAAAATAATACCAACAGCATAAATCAGTCTTTTAAACATAATAAATAACATACATTACTGTGCTATTTTAATATGCAGAAATTGAGACCAACCAGTAAAAAGAGGAAAAAAACAAGTGCTACTCAATCTCTAAAGTTTCATCAAGAATCCAACTGTGAACAAATAACAAACGATAAGTAATAAAAACAAAATTACCTGTGATAAAAGAACTTCTGGACTAAGATAATCTGGTGTTCCAACAGCTGCGTCACAATGAACTAGTAATGTCTCTGGATTCACGCGCACAGCAGTACCAAAATCAGCTAATTTTAAATGACCACCTGAATCTAATAATAAATTATCTGGTTTTAAATCACGATGAATAAATCCCATTGCATGTAAATCAATTAAAGCAAGAATTGTTTCTGCTGCATAAAAACGACAAGCAGCCTCCGACATAAATTCTACTTCATCCATCCAACTAACAAGATTACCACCAGGTACATACTCCATAACCATATATAAGTGTTTTAAATCCTAAATATATAAAAAAACAACTGCACTTTAATATATAGTATAATGTTATACTTCAAACTTCATCCATGCAATAGTTATTGTGTAATGATTAATTCGCGTACAGTATTATATCTCAAGTACTAAGCTATTGATTAATTAATAGTGAAACTATCAGAGATGGCCATGAATAACATTCATTCACATGATACCTAACAGTCACTTTAAAGTTGTACAGTTATTCAAGGGTTTGTATAAAGTGTCAACTGACGACAAAAATCAGAGGTTATTGTCGACAGGTCATCAGGTCATTCAAAATGATTTCTTTGAATTAAATTTTTATTTTTTGACACATTTTCCGACCTTTGATCTCTGGTTTTCTGTCTAGTACTTCGAAATGATTATTCATCACTTAACTAATTAGTTGTCAACTCTCCCTAGCTAACGTAAGATAATGCACCGTTTTTTTTACTACACATTCTTGTTTATCATACACTTTGACCTATCGTGTCTGACTTTTGTTACTAATCAGACCGTAAATAAGGTCACGAAAGAAATCTCTTTGGTGACTCATGTGTTCTTAATTTGATCAAGCAGGAACATATCATATCAACTCCTATTCAGTGTAGTGATTTCTATTCACTCGATTACGTCATCACCTATTGAATTCTTTTATTCTTTTTTAATATGCAACTAAATGAGCTTGACTAAGTGTTTTTGTTTTGTCCACCAGTAACCCACTTATGAAGTGAGTAATCGTACAATTTATAGCCCTCAATAATTTATTGCAATACACACAACCACAGTATTTCTATGACCCAAATTCACCCTAATAATCAGACAGACCCTGGAGACTGAATGACTCATTATATTAACTTCAGTTACTCAGGTTGTGAGCAGTTCATAAGATACCTGCTCTATGTGTTGTTATTGCTGTGTTCAAGTTAAAGAGGCGTCGGTGGCACAACGGTAGAACGCTCGCCAATCATGTAGTTGGTTTGGGGTTCCATCACGGGTCGACTATCTAGTCATGAAGCTTACAATTCCCCACTGGAGAAATATACGGTTGGATGTCTTGAAGTTTGGTAATTGGCGACAAACGTTAGGAAATAACCCTAAATTATGAAAATAACAGTATGTAGAGTAACCATAGTGGAGGCGCGGCTTACTGACTGATATACTCAATTCTCAACCGTGCTGGAGTTTGAATCCCGCTTCAAAAAATAAGTGTAGGTCACAGCCTAATACATGGAAAATACATCACGGATAACAACATACTACACCCGTATCGATTTTATGCCCACTGTCATTAGTTTCGACTGTATCGATGTTAAGAAATACAGAAATTTCACAATAAACTGTTATAACCGGATTTAGGGGAGGAAATCGGTTCTTTCATAACTGAGCAACTCAAAATTATCATATAGTCATGTTCACCATATTCTACTGAGTGATATAAATAATGTATATTCCTAGACCATGTTTGATTGTTTAGGTTCATTAATCTTGTGACAAATATATATTTGTAGGTGTTCGTATTCCTCTTCTTAGTCAGTGTCATAGAGATTCACTTGAACATATTCACAGTTTGATATGAAATAGTAATCGCACACTATAACGACTACGACAAATACGTAGCTGTATTAAAGTGTTTTTGTTGTCTGCCAACAAGTTAAACCGACAAACTATAGACCAAAGATTCGAGCCCTCATGCATTTACAGAAATTTCAGTCAAATGTTAAGTTGAGGTGACGGTTTAGTGCAAAACCTCTAATTAGCCAGTGAATATAACCTAAATGTGATAGTCCTTTCATACAAAAGCATAAACGGTGGTGTGTCATTAAATTAGTTTTACATTAACTTACTTGATAAGCATAGTACAGCTGTACAATCCATGGACTTTCACCATTTGACATAATTTCTCTTTCAGCCCAATAATCTGCATGCTGATCTAACATACGTGACTTCTTTAATATTTTCATCGCACAAACACGACCAGTTGTAATTTCACGGACAAGCTGAACACGTCCAAAAGCACCATGACCCAATGAACTGATAAATGAAAAATCTTCGGATTTACGACGATACAGTTCTAAACGCCTCGCCACATCCAGAAACCTTCAAAATATAATATAAAAAATATGCAGTTACTCAATATACAACTGAACAGATTCTTAGCAATCAGTAAAATTCAATTCAGTTTCCAAACTGGAGGGAACTATCAAGGGACGTGCGTATTTTTAAGTATTTTTCTTCTTATAAAAGCCATGAGTCAGGATAAGTCGTCTTAAATGCGTTAAATTCTGTCAAAGCAGCACAAAGTCTTTACTACTACAAGTAACCGTTATTACTGTGATCAATCTACACTTATATAAACCCATTCAGAACTTGACTACCAAACAACTACCTTTAATTTTTATTAAGAAATGGAGGGAATTCGGTGAATCACAATGAAAAATGAATGACAATGAAGGATGAACGAGATGCCATGAAGTAAAGTTTTCAGGAAAAGCACGGCTTTTCTCACCACTACGTAATAGTTTAGATCATAAAATACGGGAATGCATGTGAATTATTGCAAAAATAACCGCATAGTATACACACCAGGCATTAAAAAGAAATCTAAGAGACGCAATTTTAGAGGAAAAAGGTGTAAGAAAGAAAGTTTAGCAAGTCCAGGTGTTACATCATATATTGTTTCATATCATCTCCCAAAAGGTGTTTTATGCATTGAATCACTAATCACTTTGAAATTTGAAAATTTGGGCTACAAACACGAATGACACAAATATAAGGACTGCTGTAAAGTGCTTTTAGTGCTATTACTCTTCTTATTTTCATGTGGTTTTGTTCTCTGAGCTGGATGGTTAATTTGCGCAAATTAACCATCCAGCTCAGTGAACAAAACCACATCAAAATCATCCACCTGAGCCACAAATCTTTTCCATCATATCTAACTTTTCTTATTCCTAGTGATATAGATATCGATGTGTAACTGACTAAAGATCACGAAGTAAAGTCCGCCTTCCTCGACGGGCAACGTTAGCTGACATAGGGTCAGGTCGGAAAAGAGCCAGTGGTGGTCAAACCAAAACATGGTATCGGTGAATGAAATCCACAACAGTCAGTTTAAGCCACGTAGGAAGGTGCAGACTTCCTAGTTATGATACTCGGGAGGGTAAACACCAACGACTGGAGGTAATCAGTGATATGGCTTAAAATCGTTCTCAATGGCGCAGATGCATCCATTCCTTGTGACTTATAACACCAAATAAAACTATATGGTTCTTCGATATTACTATTTTTCTGCCTCATATCTCTCTTCACTGCTCCTATTTTGTATTTCTTTTTACTTTCTTCTCTTCCTTTGTGTGCTACATGGAGCGTGGTGACTCAAACTGCTGCACATCGGTGCAAAGTTCTATTTTGGAACCAGTCAGTCAGACAAGTCTGATCCGTACTAATAAACGTTTTCACATTCAGTAAATGCTTATAAGTTTAACGTGTACTTCGTTTTACTACAATGAGTAGTAGCTACAAGTACATTAATCGTATTCATAATTTGTTATATGAGTGCATCTACACAACACCACCAACATCAATCATTTCAAACGCCCAATGGGGAAATCAGTTGTGATAACTAAATTTTACTCGCTAATTCCATATCTTTCAGAACTATAAAAACAATTAAGAAAATTGAACATAATCAATAAATGATACATTAGAAATATATTAAACAATATAAAAATAAAGATACCTTTGTAAAAATGATTCCATATGTGAATTTGTTTCAGTCTGTACTGTTTTCGTACATTCTGCAACGCACGCCACAACGACATCAAGTAAGCGTTCTATGTAACAGTCTGAGTACGGGTCTGACAGATGTCTCTGCAAGGCTACAAGTCTTTCTTTGATGTCGATATACTGATCAGTTTGAAATTCGCTAAGACTTAGGCACGATTTGTTCATAATGACTGAAATTTAAAGGATAAAATATTTTTAACAAATATTAAAATATTCATCGTCACAGTGTGTAAGCATCTGTAACAAAACCAAATGACTGTACTTAATAACTTACAGAATCGCTTGGTCCTAAGATAAAAGCTGTTCACGGGAAAAGGACGCGAGTGGCGGTATATAAAGTCAATATTTAAAAAATTCATCTGTTCGAAATAGACAGTGGCATCCATACAACGAAAGACGAATTAAACGATGTTAAAAATGTTTTTATTAGAGATAATGATCCTGGATGTTTCTTTACAATAACTATCAAACTAGATTTAGTTAGACCTTGTTTCCCCTGCAGCCGGTCTTCTTTAAAGTACTGTTCAATAAAATAATAAGTGGCTTGTGACACGCATAAAATAATACCCTTTATTTGGCTAAACTCCAACTTAAGTCCTCTGAACAAATACTGCTTGGATTGTAAACAAGAGATAAGCCACTGTTATTGGTTATCTAAACTTTTATTCGTGAGTTCACCTAAAAATGCTGAACAAATTGTTGGTCGTGCTTAGCATTTGCCTCTTACATGCGTTCTACAACACTAACTACTTTGATTGCACAAGAAAGATCTTTTAAGAGTTTGATTATGATTAATTTGACCGCAACATCAACTAAGTTCGGTACCATTTAGAGGGTGTCCGATCTCATTCCATTTAAGTAACATGCCGTATGCTTGTGCCCTGCTGACAGGAACACGAATCAAATATTAGTTATAAGATCAATAAAATAACGCAAAACACTCTTATGGACTCTTGTTTCCCATTTTCCTTAAGTCACCTAACATTGGAAGTTGGTGGAGACATATGTGCTAGATATCTTTTCAAATGCCCTATGGACTTTGTGGTATAGTGATTTATTTCAATCTTACTTTGGAGGTGTAACTTACGCCCATGAATCTCCATTGGACCTATAAAAATAGAGTATGATAAGCCCATACAAACAAACTGCAACTCAGACTACTAGATAAAACTGCAGAATGCAACCGTTTTGATACCAGTTGAGCATGGAGTGACGTCCACAACAATAAGTGGGGAGTAACAGCACTGACTGAAGTCTACCAGTCAAGCTCATAATCCAGCAAACATTGGTACTGTAACTTGAAACTGAGTGTTGGAGTTAAATTGGCAGAAGGCCCATCAGGTAAATTAGTATTTGTGAAGTGGTACCTTTGCTTCAGCATAGTCACTAAACGACGAACAACAGCAGTAACCGTATGAAATGTAACTTGGAGTTTAACTACTAACGAAATTCATATTATCATCGCCATTACAATTACAAATAAGGCTTGTAATTCAGTCTAAGCAAACATTGTACTGAAAATATATATATAAAAGACTATTGCGTGGCACCCAAAAGATAAATTACGATACATAACAGTTGGATAATTGATTAGGCTGCCTGTCATTCAGAATAAGTGAGGAGACTGTATATGTAAACCGCGATTTAACATACAAGAATGTAATACTGCAATAAACGTATGAATAAATACAATTTAGTAAAAGACTGTTAATTCCTACATGTACAGACAAATCCAATGAAGATGCACCGTCGAACTAATTTAGTTCATAATCCCTCAACAAATAACTCCTGAAATCACAAATCCGAAAGTCGGTTACCAGCAAAATAAATTCCGGAATAAAGTAACATTACTGGTTTTTGAAATCTTCACTGAATATCTAAAATGTTGAATAACAACTTATAGCAGAGATCTTATGCAGCTAATTATGAAACAAGTAATAAAGCAGCTATTTTAATCTACATCAGGAATTTGTTATCTATCGGTATATGCTACTGAAAATCTGATGGAATCCTACAGAAAAAATGGACTGATAGGATACAAATCTCGTTTCTTACCACTTCTCTATAGGAGTGAAATTCTAGATTTTAAAAATCTTCCGTGTCTAGACAGGAACAAAATTCCAAAGCAGATTCATTGAAATGAGCATGATATGTAAACTGCTAGGGACATCACTAATTCACTGAGGTAGACAGCCATTAATCGATACGAGATACTGCTCAGTAAAAAGAAGTGCCGATATTGCTTCTTGTTCTTACACCAATTGAGCGGCTCGAGGTGGGCAGTGTTCCTCAATGAGATCAAAATCACACCTGTTTAGCTTCAAATATTAGCCTACAGCAGTCAGTGAACTGTTATATGACAAATGTTTACACCAACTAATTTTTCTATTTATTAATTTGTGTAGTGCACTCTAAATTCAGTACGTTTATGTTTCTTAGTGCAAACAATTGCAAGGAGTATTAAACCGCGGTCGAACGACATAAGATGGAATTCAAAACCTTACATGAGGTGAAAAGTAACTAAAACTCTTCTCCAGATCGAGTGCTGTTAGCTTTCTCAGCGAATAATTTGGAATAAAAGTCGGATATTTGAAATGTGTATTGCTAAGACCAACAGGCTACACCTAGTCGACCATCCTCTATCACAAAAGAATAAATGTAACAAACTAAAGCAACGTACAGATGAAAAGTTGTACTCTTATTCATCTTGATATGGCAATATTCTACCTCGAATAACCTGCTAAGGCGAGTCAGCCAAATAACAATATCGCAAACACATTAGTTACTTGATCTATTAGTAGACCTTGTAAACTAAATCCGATACTGTCAAAAGTGCTACGCCCTACTGACTCATTTAAATGTTTGCTAACCCATTAACATTATCTTAACTCCCAAATATTTAACAAGCGGTAACAAACTTGTGAGTTGAATAATATAAACGGCAATTATGTTAGCGTAACATATTTAGATGATAAGGATAGAAGGCTCTTGCGGCCTGTGTTAATCCTTGCAAAATATATCTCCGCACAGACGCATTAGATCAAACATTTCCTGACATTCCCGTAGCAGAACACACAGTAACTTCCCAGTCACAGGAGGAGTAGTCAAAATGCGGAATAAGTACATGTTCATCGCAAATGAGTGGGTATTCACATACCGATGTATTGTTATATATAATTATAACACTCCTACACTTTTAAATAATCGCAGAAGAGTGTAGTAGAATTTATAATGATCGGCTAAAAAAAACGTCCCTACATATACACAAAAATATGTAAGAACAGGCACAACTAAGCGTACATGAAGTGAGCAGCGAAGTACCGCAATAAATTAACGGACCACTAATTTGGGCTCTTCACATTCAATGTATACAATGTGTTTAAGATAAGGTTGTCTAGACTGACTGTTTTCTTGGATATATCTTCAAACTGCCATAGGAAGATCGGGATCCTTTCAGGATTCTAATGTAGGAGACCGATACAACTATTGGAGAAATACTAGAGCATGTAGCCACGCTGGACTTTGACTACAAATTAGCATGTGGAGACTTCAACTTACCTGGAGTAAACTGGGATACCTGTACAGGACCAAGAATCCATGAAGAGCTACTACAAGCTATAGACATAGGAGGATGGAAGCAGTGCGTATGCCTCCCTAAAACGAACCAAAATACTTTTGACTTAATCCTCTGTCATAAAATACAGCCCATCTTGATAGAGATGGGAAATAAACTCGATCACAGTGATCACAACATATTGTACTGCACGCTACCCCTCCAACTAACAACTAAATACACACCTAAAAATTCCCCGGTGCGCTATCAATATAGGGACCATAAGAATGCTGATTGGGAATTCCCATCAGATCTGTTGAGAAGTTCTGACCGGGAAGAATAATTCATTAACAATAACTTAGAAGTATTACTTGAGATATTCTGCAAAACAGTTGGCTCAGCAAGAGACACAATCGCGCCCCTAATATCTGCTCTAAAGACCAAGTGTCAGACAACTTACTGGAACATGAACTTATCAATCCATCACAACACGGATTCCTCAAAAAGAGGTCATGTGTGACCTGTCACATAGACTTTTTCAATGAAGTTACACGAAGCAGGGACAACAGAGAACTAGTAATTGTGTTATATTTCGATATAACAAAAGCCTTCGATAGAGTCCCCCATAATCTGCTAGTCAGCAGGTTATGCTCACTAGGGATATGTGACCCTCTCCTGAGCTGGATAAAATCATTTCTCTATGGTCGAAGTCAGATAACGAAAGTTGGCTCGATAATCTCAAGGCCTAAACCAGTAAGCAGTGGTGTAATCCAGGGAAGTGTATAAGGGCCACTCCTATTCATAATATTTATAAACAGTATCTGTGAATGCTTTAGTGTTGGTAAACCAATACTATATGCAGATGACTTATAAGTGACCTATAAATGCAAGAACACAGATCTCGGATTAACAGTAAACGCCATACAGCAAGAATTAGAAAAAATGGATAGATGGTGTGACACCTGGCAACTCCAGTTTAATGTCGACAAATGTGGCTGGCTCTGCATACGTTGCAACAATTTAGAACTTGACCTGACAATTCAAGGCCATGCACTCTTACGACTGGAATCTGTATTGGACCTAGGACTAGAATACTCACATGACTTATCATTTTCTGAACATATCTTCAAACAAGTGTCTAAGCAACCAGACTTATCGGCTTTCTACTCAGGAACCTCTACAGAAATGAGTCCAGAATTCTGTTGTACAAGGTTTGTGTGCGTCCTTTATTTGATTACTGTTCATTCATGTATATTAGTATACGCATAGAGGACAAATTGAAAGTCGAGGGAATGCAGAGGCACTTCACCTCAAAATTACTCGGAACCGAAAATGGTGCGAACTACTCCACTAGATGTGGTACCCTCGGACTAGAAACACTACTAAGACGCCTGAGACTAAACTTAACACTTTACTTTAAGCCTCTAAACCACTTAGTTCTTACCTCTACTAATGGCATTCGACTTTCAGATGACAATGGCTACAAACTAAGACACACAAAGGGTACAGTAGCTATCGAACAATGTAAAACAGCTACCAGGCGAAAGTTTTACTTGATTAGGTATGCACAGATATGGAATAAACTACCAATGGAAATGCGCCAAGCAGGTACATTGGCCTCCTTCAAAACAGCGCTTAACGAAAAACTGCAAGAGTTTGCAAACGATAGTGGTTCTAGTTCCTATCTGAGAGCCTCCAAAATTATAGGTCCATTCAATGTATAAGCTTAAATACTATACCTGTTGCTTTTGCCTATATTCATAATTTCAGATAAAACATTAAGGATTAAGATACTTACCCTCAAACAGACAAATAGTTTCTTTTGTAAAACCTCTACCCAACACAATAAGTGGAATAAAATGGACATAAACCGACAACATGAAAAAGGTATAAATCACCGCAACATCACATGGAGAGATGTACGCTCGTCGGGCATCATACATGCCCCACCAACTACAACCCAACCTTCCTAAGATAATGTTTAAATGGAGTTGAAGATTGAACGATCAATTCATGGTTGTTTGCTCAAAACCAACTTCCCCAATTTTCGCGGAGGCATCAATACGACAGTCATCGTCTCATCGGTCGCTGTTCAGAAAGAAGTCAGCAGTAAACCGTCAGAAGTAATATTGTGATTTATTATTGTAATATTTGTTCACAGACCTTAGTTTTAACATTGTTTATATGTTGGTGTAACAATACAGAATCCTCAAGTCAACAATTGGTGTTTTGGTTTTTTCGTCCGTTATTACTAAGCGTTTCTGAGAAACTTCAAGGAACAGCGTGAGCCCGAGCGTAGCAAGAGCTGGGCATTAACGGTTTACGAGACGTGACTGACACTGGGCATTAACGGTTTACGAGACGTGGCTGACAGTTTCTGATGGTAGAAACAGACTCTGGCGGATTCAGACAGTTGGTGAAAGTTTGGATAGTCACCGTTCATCTTTCCTGGTGCCGGTCAAGTCCTCTTTGAACAAGCAATATCTGGAACGTTTTTGGAATTGGGTCAAGTTCAACAATGCCTGGGTCAAAGAAGGGACAGAGCGTCTT